TGGGTAAAAAATATCGATATCTCGATATTAATCGATTCTCATTTTTACGGAACGATATCGATTCCTAAATCCCAAGAATCGATTATTCTAGCCTGCTTTCAGTTAAACGATGGAACGTTGAAGGGTACCTCCCAACCAATAAATCGCAATAAGCATTGTGCTTTGGTACTTTTAATATGAAACAAAGTCTCCGATTTCAAATTCTGTCCATTGTATTGCAGTATTTAAACAATAAATACCATTTTGGCGCTGTTTTGTGGAGTGATCGCTGTAGCGCGGCGCACCTCGGTTAAATAAAAGCGGCAGCGCGAGGCGCATGTGAACTGATCGTCTCCTTCACATTAATACCAGTTTCAGCACAAAATAAACATGACTAAACATCCGAAGGCAAGTTTTACCTCAGAAAAAAACATATTCGGTGACCATAAACTCATTAGTCAGATAGAAAAATAAACTGTAGAGAGGGGCATTTTGCTAAATATATGCACCATATAACATATTCATTATAATTTTTACTGTTCTTCAATGTTTCATTTATGTTTGGATAAATCCATCAAGTTTTTATGACAGCCACCATTTAAATGTTTATATTTAAAAAAAACGAATTGAAGTAGAAATATTTCTATGTAACTGTAACTTTATTATTCATGAATTTTAACCTTCAATATTATAGCAATGTTGTACCAACTGACTCTCATGTATATTTTGCAGCATTAGTTGAGATTTTTTCAGGCATGTACTGTACCTGATATATATCCTAAATAATAGATATTGAATCTAATCGAATCGCAAGCTTGTGAATGAGAATCGAATTGAATCGTGAAATTTGTGTCAAAACCCAGCCCTAGTATCTTGGGTCTGCAGCTGGTGAAATAACACTTAGACTACGCCACTAATTAGTAAATTAGCAGATACTTCTAGCCAAACAGGATCAGTCCTCTTGGACTTGATCAAGGTCACAATGGCGATGGGTTCGAACCCACAACCTTTTAATTACCAGCCCAGATTTTTAGCCAGGCAAAACTAGACCAGCAGTTTAAAACTTCTAAACTTTCTAAACCACAAACACAGCAGCTTGAAGCACGTCACTGAGCTACAATGTGCATCTGGTAAACAGCATCATTAATTACTACTAATCGCTAATTAGTCATCTGGCTGACTCCTTTACCCAAAGCAACAGTTCACAGAAACGGGTCAGTCCTCCAGGGTTAAGTGCCTCGATCAAAGCCGTAATGGTAATTAGAATGGATTAACCTCTCAAGGGTTTGAACCTACAAACTTTCAAGCAACCCTAATATTTAACCATTATTCCCAAACACATGCTGCGGGAAAAAACATGTTATTAGTTATAGTCTAATTTTACAAATAAAGGTTGAAAGGCGGAATTCAGGTAAATCGGGTCATCCTTATGTCAAAAAGTGGTTAAATATAATCAAATTCACCTTATATACCTTGATAATATACCATGGTTTTTACATGATACTCTATTTACCTCCAACAAAACCATAGCATTACCATAGTACACGTCCAAAATATGGTATTATGGTAAAGTTATATTGTGTAACTGCCATCCTCTAATGGGCAGCTAACCTTGGACCATGGTACAATGTCTAAAAACCATAGTATTACCATAGTACTTTATTGTTAGTGTAGTTTTGAAGCAGTTTGGTGGTTATCCAGTGCCTTTAATATGGATTGATAGGAATCTTTCAGTAGGTTTGGAGAAATAATTTAAATATTTATTTATTTCATTATATTATATTATATCTCTAATATACACAATATACTACAGTTTATACATGATACTCCAATCAATTTACCTCCAACAATACCATGGCATTACCATAGTACACGTCCAAAAAACACTGTATTGTGGTAAGGTAACTGTCACCCCTTTTTTACCATGTTTAAAAACCATACTATATCATGGTACTTTATTGTTAGTGTAGTTTTGAAGCAGTTAGCAGGTCATTAGTTATTTGACACTGTAAGTTATCAGTCCAGTCGAGCGTAAACAATTATTCGGTCATTTCGCAGATACATTAATATTAATATTACCTGTGTGAAGTCTTCATCACTCAGCAGGTGCGCGTCTCGAGCTTTGAAGCAGTTCTGGCATTTATTCTTGTTGAAAATATTGGCCTGGAATTTTCGGCAGGCGTTATCTTTTGCAGACATACTCTGTGCCTTGAGTGTTCCCGTTTGACCGTTATTTTAAAAACTGCGCAATAATTCCAGCGGAGGGTCCTCCCCCGCGCGCTGCAGTCCGCCTCATCACAAACTCACTACGATGATTTATTTACGCACAATAATCATCTGGCAGGACCCACACAAAGGGGATAGTAATAATAATAATAATTTTTTTTTTTTATTAAAAAGTTTTAATTCAGCCGAGCTCTCTTAGGTTGATTTCTGGGGGGGGATTCAATCCGGGACCTTCCGCGCTCCGACGCGTTACAGTTCGAGCTCCAAAATAATGTGGCAAACTTGTAGAAGCACTCAGTGATGGAGAGGAGGTGTTTACTTTCCACTAGCTCACCGCTGCTGACGAACCTTTCAGCGATACGTGAAGACAACTATCCCGAAACTCCATTATGCGTCTCAGTGTGGATTCTCTAGAGAGATTCCGCTCCAAAAACGGATTTTCGCAGATCTGGGCGGTCGGGTTCCCACGGTCACAGCTGATCACACGCGTCCGGCTGCGCTCTCCACACACACTACACACTCAACACGCAGGCAGGAATGAAGAGGGCGGGGCACAACTTAACTGACAGACACCGTAAGCCAATCACGGGAAGGGACACGCCTACGTGTTATAGTCAAGGAACGTCAGTGTCCAATCAGATTGTTCAATCGCACTAATTTTATGGAGAATAACAAGAATCAAGGTAGGTGGACTGTGCACGGGGTAAACTGAAGTTATTTAAACTTACAGTCAGGATTTTATATGGATTTAAACTGTGTTTTTCGTCTGGTTATAAAATTAAAAAGTGCAACAATAAATAATTCATGCGTTAAGATCTTTGATAACTACCCTTGTAACGCCCCAGATAGTGATCAATCCTACCTGAGCGGCTCTCCAGTGCCCCCGTTTGGCTTTAATGCGTTATGAGAGCCTGAGTTTATATATATATATATATATATATATATATATATTAATTACAATATTTTACATGCTATTTATGAATTAATACTTAAAAATATATTTTAATACTAACTTTTTAATATTATATATAATATATATAATAAAAATATAATTGTTTTAGATATTTAAGTATTTAATTATATTATTGTTTATCTTTATTTATATATTTTAAATGTAAATATCTTAAAATATATTTTAATCAAATATTTATTTACAATTTCATTACACTATATATTATTTTTCTTTTTTGCGTATGTGTATATAGTAAATGTACAATGAAATTACAAAAGGGAACAGTGTTCATAATCTCTCGGTGGCACAAAACTTTATTTTTTTAATTTAAAATAAAGCTTAAAATTTGCAAAATGCATAATCATTTTGTAAGCAGCTATTAATACAAGTTCAAAGGCAATATTAACATTTCATGATTCATAAATCTGTTTTTAAAACAACATAGTAAATTTAAAGACAACCCTTTGATTTCCTCAAATTAGCAAGTCAATAACATTGTTCATATGTGAAACAGTAAACTATGTTTGTTTGATGTTATTAACAGATGAGTGTCAACATTTCCATCCCAGCTTCCACAATCCATAAAAAATGATTACTGATCTTTCACATTTTTGAAAGTATTACATTAAACTTGGTAGTCAAGAAGACTGGCCTGAGAAAATCTGGCAAGAGAAACTCTTTATGATAGCGTTAATACTGAATATAATACGACACGTTTCTGAGAGCACACGTGTTTCCCTTTAGTAACGTCCAACGACACGAGACAGAATGTGAGCGATTCCTCTATGTCCTGTTGATGGAGGGAGCGTCGTTTATCTCCTCGTTGTCCTCTTCATTCATCAGCGGTTCTCTGTGATCTCTTAGTCGTCTTATTCAGAATGCTTCCCTATAAACACACACGTACATTACATTTAAACAATATCTCAAGGTCATCATAAAACTATTCATAACATTCATTTTGCATAGGATATTCTACTTAATTTGATCTACTGATTAAGATAACGGACCGTTTTCCTGTGGTATCACATGCACTGATGAACTGTGCATGATAAGATCAGGAATAAATACAGTATTACAAAAGTAAACAGGGTTCATTTTCAGTTCATTTGCACTGCATTAGGTCATGAGCGATACTGTCACAGCAGAACAATCCAATCCACCTCTATTGAAATGGACTGATGTGTTTTCAAAGCCAAAAATAACCTCTGCTATTCCAAAGTACTCAAAACTCATGTGTCGCTCGAGTCATGCATAAGTTCGAATCCACTGATAGCAGTTTCTCTATCACTCGAACTTATGATGTAGACAATAATAAGAGGCAAATCCAGCTTTTCTGGCTCTGAGAATAAATACACCGATCAAGGACATTCTGTAACAGTGAGAACTCGTTTGACTCCTCCTCGCTCAAACTCTTCAGTTCTCCTACATCATACTGTTGCTATGGTTACGTGAGGTTAGGGATTCAGAGAGATGTGGCGATAGTGGGTGGATGTGTATGTGTGTGTTACCTGTCTGTAGTCAACAATGTTGAGTATGGTAGAGGTGATTATGCAGATGATTGTATTGGCCAGCATGAAGATCATCATATATTGCCATGTCCACAGCGGGATCTTAACATCACTGAGCAACAGACATATAAAACTCACTAACTCATATACATGGTATTCCAAGATAATACGAAGAATATCATGATGCTTTCAAAAAAAAGTTTTTGTGAGTATAATGCATGAACATGTATTACATTTCAGTGTGCATTAAACATGAATGCTGGCCATTAATGTCACCTGGACTTGGTTCCCAGTATCTGTCCCACCACCAGGTTAGAGATGCCGATGCCGACCATCTGTATGGATGTGGCCAGTCCCATCGCTGTGCCCAGTGTGGCTTGAGGAACCGCCAGAGGGACGGAGGGCCACATGCTCGCCTACAACACACAAAATAATAGAAAACCAATGAAAAACTCGTCAGCTCAACAGCAGGAATTAAATAAGTACATTATCATGCAATGTTTAGCACAGGTCTGTTCTTTTATTTCGCTTTATTTGTAAAACTTTTGAATTCAGAATACTGGCACAATATTTTCTAAGTAAAATGACAAGCAACACACAAACGGAATAGAAATACAAAAAATGTCAGTCTAACAGAAAGAATCACACACGTTTAACTTTAATATTCAGTGTTTATTATAGCTCTTGGTTATAAATTTTGTTTCGATTTATTTGCAAAATAATGAAATTGGAATATTTGTGTTATTTTTTATATACATTTTTATTAAAATATATTACATATTATATAATAATAATAGAATATATATATATAGTGATTAAATATTATATTATATTATAGTATAGTATGTTTTAAGTAAGAGGAGAATGGGGTATATAATATGATAATATAATAATAATTTCTTAGGTTGTTCAATCCATTTAAGGATGTTTTTTACAGTTATTTTAGTTCTTAGTTTTACTATCAAGGCTATAACATTTTTAAGTTTCAAAAAATGATACATGTTAAAAGAGCAAATCTAATAACACATATTGATATAATATTGCCATATTAAAATATTCCAAATACACACATTTTCTGGGTTTATGGATATCATTATTAAAATGTGCATAATGTACAACACTTTAGAAGACTTCGTTTATTTTTAAACCCTACATTTTTAATATTCATATTTTTATTTAAAATGTGAATTTGAAATATAATTCCTTGTTTTTTTATTGTTTACTTAGCTAGAGGAAAACATATGCAAAATATGGCCCTATTAATCTTATCCTGCAAACAAACCTCAAATTTCTCATATTTTAAAATCAGTATCGTGTACAGTGACGAATGCTGAAAACTTCAACCAATCACACGCTCTCTCACAATGTTTGCAAACCACACAATTGTGCATGTACTTTACTTTACTTCAGTAACATCGTATAACTGGCGTCTGTAGTATCTGCTGTATGTGTGTGTGTTCATAACTGATACTCACAGCAGCAAATGAGTAAGTGATGCCGAGCCAGATGGTTGATATGAGAGGAGGGACGAATGTGAAGGCCAGCAGACCAAACACAGCGTCAATACGGCACAGAGCCCCGCAAACACACCGCGCAGCCCCACATAGTCCTGCAGCACAGACACAAACACAATTAACATTAAACTGACTTACCACAAAGCACTTTAGTGGCATCATATAGTGATGATATCATGCCATATATACATATATAAATTTAATGATACATTGAATTTTTTCTCCATACATGTTTGGGGTTGTAAGATTTTTTTACTGTTTTTGAAATAAGTCTCTTCTGCTCACCAAGGCTGCATTTATTTGATCAAAAATACAGTAAAAACAGTAATATTGTGAAATATTATTATAATTTCAAATAACTGTTTTCTTTGTGAATATATTGTAAAATGTAATTTATTCCTGTGATGCGCAGCTGTATTTTCAGCATCATTGCTCCAGTCTTCAGTGTCACATGATCTTCAGAAATCATTCTAATATGCTGATTTGCTGCTCAAGAAACATTTCTGATTATTAGCAATGTTGAAAACAGTTGTGCTGCTTCATTTGTATTTATGGAAATGGTGATAGTTTTTTTTTTTCAGGATTGTATGATGAATAGAAAACTGACAAGAACAGCATTTATTTGAAATAGAAATCTTCTGTAACATTATAAATGTTTTACTGTCACTTTTGATCAATTTAATGCATCCATGCCGAATAAAAGTATTAATTTCTTTTAAGACAAAATGTGCAATCATATGTGTAAATATCTCATTTAAATATCTGTGGAGTGATTCTAACTTTATTTTGTGAGTTTAGTGTGTTTTGTAACACGCAGTAGTGCTTGTTCATCTGATAGTAATCAGCATTGACTTACAATGAGGATGCCGACAACAGCAGACAGCACCAGTGAACTGTCATACACAGTGCCTGCGATGTACGCCGCCTCCTTCTGGCTGTATCCACTGTATTTATCCTGGATAAACTTACTGAAAACACACACACACAGCAACACATGAACAACGTGTACAGATCTATTTTATTCTAGACACATCTATATGGCTCATGACTGTACCTGGCATCAGCGATGAAGGGGAAGATGCCATTATAAAACAACATGATGGTAAGAACCAGCAGCCAGTATCTGAGAGACAGACGCTTCACATCCTGAACTCTCTACACACACAAAATATAGCAGCTGTATCACAACATCAAATGGTCCAAACCAATCTAAGCTCTTCAGTCACAGTAGTGTTTCTATTGCTAAAATAAAATTGTTGTCATCCATGAATTTTCAAATTTACTGTTTTACAACAAAGGCAGAAAAAAATAGTAAAGCACTTTATTCATTGTTTTATTCAGATGCCCAATTACAGTCAATAACAACAGAGAGTGTGGAAAAGTAGACAAAAACAATGCCAGCAAGAATGCAAGCTGTTATCAAGGCCATGCAAAATATTAAATTTTTTGTTTATTATGTGTGAATAAAGACTATTTAGTTGTTTCAGTTTGTTATTTGCCTAATAAATGACAATAAAAGTTAAGCAAGTTTTTGAGATTCCTAAAATATTTTAGTTTTTTCTTTATGACAGGTGGTCTAACAAATTTGTTGAATTGAATTTAATATGCATATATATATATATATATATATATATATACACATACATACATATTACATTACACACACATATATATATATATATTTGCATTTACTTTATTTTATACATACATATATATATATATACATACATATATGGGGTTTATGCATTTTGTGTATTATACTTTTTTGTTTCTTTTTTATTATTAAGGTCATTATTTTTTTCCTGCATTATGCATTATTTGTATTTTAATTTTATATTGTAATCAATTATCTATTGTTATTATAAAATGGGTCATTATGTTATATTAATTATGGTATTTCATCTATTTTATGTGAAGTACTCTGTGCTTGTTTCAGTGTAAAGCACTTTTTATTAATAAAGATTATTACTATTATCATTATTATATTATACTGCAGCAATAGCGAGACTAGTATAGGAGTATAGTATTCTCAACATATATCAACTTGTGGCATCTTTATCAGTGTCTCACCAGTTTACGTGACTCCTCCTGAATCACTCCATCCAATCCCAGCTGCTTCATGCCCATCTTATCCAGAACGCTGACTGTTACAGCCGACAGGAAGCCAAGAACACACAGGAACGTGCCTTCGCACATAAAATAGATGCATAAGGCTCGGAAACATTCCCAAAACAACAGATCAAGGGCCTAATCGTGTGCATGCTGTGTTTCTCACCTCCCCACAGTGTCCACTGCATACCGTACTGAGACTCAAACCTCTGCGTCAGGAAGAAGTTCAGAACCGAGCCCAAGCGGGAGAAAGCCAGGGTCAGTCCAAACGCCAGAGCCAGCTCCTTCCCGCAGAACCAGAACGCCGTGATACGGTTTTGGACAACTGAGAAATGAAGAGAGACACATGAGATTCAATGTATCTTAATGCTTTTCACAGGTGTGTTTGTAATGTCTTTGCCAATGAAAGCCCTTGTTTATTGAGTGAGTACAGAATCTGAGAAATAAAAAGTGCCTTTGTGTGCTGTTGGATACTTTCAGGACTTTGTAGAGTTTCCTATCATAATGCAGATCAATAGCCAGCCAGTGGAAATGGGTGTTAAAATGTTTTACTTCTGTAATATATGACATATTTCTGATATTCAATGAGCCAGACAGAATGAGAGCTTGTTAAAACAATGACTAAATCATTATCCAGTCCAGTAACCTCGAGAGACATCAGTGCAAAAGGAAAGTCATTTCAGAGGAAGAGGAACCGCTTCAGTTCTCAGTAAAGATTATACAGATGTTTTTCTTTGGAAAAGCATGTACAGATGAATAATGTACAATAAAACCAGAAATATGCATTAAGAAAGTAAACAGGGAAGTAAATAATTTAAAGTGATCTGCTTTTGACTTTATGTAAAAGTCTAATTAATTTTGGTGCAGAAATTAGTTAATGTACAATTTTTTTATACTTTCATTTAATAATTTAATATATTTGTTAAAGCCATCTTAATTTTGCCTTAATTGTCTTTTTGAATTGAGTAGAATATGTTAAATTTATTGAGATTGTGATTGCCTTATACATTTTTGTCCTTGAGCTGAATACCTACCTCTAGTGTTGCATTCCTGTCACTGCACCTTATGTATTAATTATTTTCTTAATTACTTCATTGTTTTTAGTTTTATTTTCATTCTTAATCCTTTTATCCTTGATTATTTTATGTACCCAGAGCTCCAGAAAACCACAAATTCCTTGTGTGTTTGTGCAAATAAAGATAATCTAAATATAAATATAATAGAAATATAATTTTTAAAAAACAAACAAACTGACTTTACTGCCTTTCCTTAAACTTTTAATCATTTTTTAAATGCAATATGAATCTGCAGTAATATTGTCCCTCTCACCGCCCTTATTTATTTTAATTTGTAGCTTGGAAACTTTAACGACTTGCTGACAGAGTATGGGAACAATAAAACACAATAAATAATAACTAATCAAGCTAAATTTATATTTATTTACTTTATTGTTTTTATACTTGATCCCTATTTACATTTTATTTCTATTCTCTTGTATATACATATGCATGTATGGACCCAGAGCTCCTGAAAACCAAAACAAAATCCTGTGCACACTTGGTGAATAAAACTAATCTGAATCTAAATTTAGCATTTCTAGAGTTAAATCTGCTCAATCTCAGTCATACTGGTCAGGGCTCAGTTTCCAGAGCCAAACAGAAGTCGCCCGGTCAGCATGAGGGGCAACAGGTACGTTGAACCCTTATAATGAGACCCCAATGCAAAGATAGCGGATCCCAACACAGTCAGGAAGGAGAACGGGAAAACGCCAACTACAGGAGAGAAAATCCAAACACTTTACACACAAACATATTCAAAGAACAATGAATATTGACAAATTTCAGATTGACATTAGATCTAACTTACAGCGGTTTCCCAACTTATCAATGAGGAATCCCGCCATGATGACCACCACAGCATTCCTGGGAAAACAAGACAAGACTCATTTGAAAGCTGATAGACAGGGTGAAGCTTTGAGGGCGACAGACTGTAATTGAATTCTTGCTGTGTGAGCGTGTCTGAGTCTCACGTCCAGGCGTAGATGGCGTAAAGCAGGTTGTACTCCTGTGGCGTCATTCCCAAACCTTCCACACACGCTCCTGTGCCAGTAGCAGTGCTGTTACTCACCGTCCCGTTTGGACATGTCAAATTCTGTAAGAGAAAACACAGAAAGCTTACTGACCTAGTTCCTAAACCAGAGAGGTTCATTTGTAAAATTGGCCAGTCTTATGTTGTTTAAAGGGTCACGACATACATTAATGTATTATATACACTGAAAAAAATTATAAACGCAACACTTTTTTTTTTTGCCCCCATTTTTCATGAGCTGAACTCAAAGATCTAAGACTTTTTCTATGTACACAAAAGCAAAAGTGTTGCGTTTATAATTTTATTCAGTGTAATTATGGTAGTAAAGCTTTTTGCACATACAGTTGTCAAACTTTAGACTATTTATGACATGGCTTTGACAGACTTTATCTTTTATCGATTTTATCTATCCTGCTCACGTTTAACTCAGTGTGACTGGATGGCCAAGTGTCTGGTCACCCAATAGATTTCACTGACATGTAAATGTGGGAGGTCATATGTTCAAATGTACCCATCTCTCTGGCAATATGAAGTTTACGCAGCTCATTTTCAATAAATGTTCTGTTGTATATAAGTACTACCGTCACATATCTCAAGGCACATCTGACCACTTTTAAAATGCGTAAACCAAGATTAAAGGATTAGTTCACTTCCAGAATAAAAATTTCCTGATCTTTTACTCACCCCCATGTCATCCAAGATGTTCATGTCTTTCTGTCTTCAGTCACAAAGAAATTAAGGTTTTTGAGAAAAACATTCCAGGATTTTTCTCCAGATAACAGATAACTAGATAATTTAATTATGTATTTTTAATCACGTTTGAAAACAAGACAGTGCTCATTTAAGTCTCATGATATGAAAAAAAAATGTATTTATATATTTTGGGTGAACCTTTAAGAAGAAACTAATTAGGGATCTAACCGCTGTATAGTATTATTAACTGCTCATTATGCAGAAGACACTATTCTTTGCCAACAATAGCTCCGGGTGTTTTGTTCTCAGGGCGTTGTGTGGTGACCCTGATCTGGGGTTCTGCATGGACGGCTCGTGGTCAGCAGGTGTGCGAGTGGACAAAACAGTGACGAGCGCCCACCCCTCTCCTTCCCTCCTGCTGCAGGTGAGGTGTGTTCAGACTCTCACTGAACGCCTCTCTTTATATACTCTCACTCTCCTCCTAACTGCTCCAACAGGCCTATGAGGAGCTGCCGTCTGAGGAGGAGCGACGCAGACTATTGGCTGATCTCGCAGTGGTAGGCGGAGCCAAAGAGAGGCGTGTTGGTCCTGAGCTCGCTGGCCGTATACATCACCTTCTCGCTTCCCAGAATCCTCATCTCCTGCTGGATTAAGGCCAGATTTGTGGGAATGAATTTTGCACTTTATTGCCAGTATAGAAGACTAACCTTCTTCTACAAATTTGTGCCTCAAATTGATACATTCATTCTCCATTATGAACTTAATAATGGATCTGCCGTCAATACTTGAAAATTAAACGTTTTATAATGTTTGTATTGTTTATTTAAAACTGATGTCATTGTCTTAGTAAGTTAAGACTTACAAAATTAAAATATCAAAATTAAATATCTGTCTTATAATTGGTGTTCATATTCAGACTAGACTATTATTATTTTAAATAGAAGATGCATTTCATTGATTGTCATTGATTCATTAATAAGATTATGCTTTTTCAGATGCTTTTTCCAAACTTGCATTGCATTTTATCAGTATGTGTGCTGAAATTTGAATCCATTACTTTGGGACAGGTTTATTACCATTAACTAATATATATATATATATATAAACTTTTTTTTATTATTTCAGCTAGATGCCAAGGCAACAATTTCTCATTTTCATTTAAAGTACTAAAAATGTCATTTGAAATACTAAAAATAACTAAAAATGTACTAATTTATTTACAACTATGAAAAATTTAATAAAAAAACTATACAGATATAAAAAAAGAAACCAATAAAAATGACAAAACACAACAAAAACACTAAAACTTGGACTAAAATTTAAATGAAAACAAAATAGAAAAATAAAATCCAATTCAACAAACACAGTTGGGATGAGTTATGCTCAGAAGTTTAATATTGGTGAAACACAAATTAAAAAGAGCAAATTAGATACTTGAAAAAACATGCAATTATGAAATTAGCTTTTTTGTTGTTTATTTTTTTACCTCAAAACAATGTAATCAGTAAGAAAACATGCAAAAGAGTACAAAATCACTCACTCATATATAGAGTATATTATAAATCATAATCAAATATTAATAATAGTTTAAGGAGTTTAAACTAATCAATAAAAGTTAAGTGAATAAATACACCGTCATATCTGAAAATACACAATCTACAGTGTTTATCAAATCAGAAATGTATTTAGGTGTCATAGCAGAGCTGTAGCTCTCTGATATTGAATTATGATAAAATACTGTAATTAATTAATAGACTTATTAACAGGCTCTTCAGCACTCAGCCTGTGCCAGGAGGTTTTTCATGAGCTCGTCTCTCTGGAAGTCTGAGCAAATTAACACAAATACTGGAGATACTGTACAGTGCCTATATGGAGAGTATTTACAGAACTAATCTGCTGGAATTGAGGTTTCAAACAACTGATGACTATAATATTTGAATAATACTGCTGCAAAAGACGTTTGGCATGTGTTGATCTACCTTAATATATAAGATAAAACTTCTCAAAACAAGGGTCACCTGACTGGAAACATTGGCACTGGAAATGAGCAAGTTTATGAGCAATTTAAACCTTTAACCCCATCCTGAACCCTGAATAATGAATTAATGGAAAAGATTAAGAAATAAAGCCACTGATTCACTGGATCTCACAAAGGTTATAATTCACAACAAGTCCAGTGAATGAATTTTGATAGTTTGGCAAGGGATGAGGACGAGCGGTTTGAGTTGAACTGCAGGATGTGCTCGTTTAAGAATGACAATTATGTCATTTACTTACCCTCATGTTTTTCTGTAGGACACAAAAATGAGATGTTAAGATTCTATAAGAAGAAAAGAAAGCCTCATACCTAGGGCTGCACAAAAAAAATTTCAAATTCAAATTTGAAATTTGTGGTTTAAAATGCTATTTTAAAAAAAACTCTAGGTTTCCTCTGACTGTTTGTAGGCGTGCACAATTTGGCGAAAAATTCTGATTATATATTTATGACTTGTATAAGACTATTATTATTATTAATAATAATAATAAATTATTATTATTATGTTAACAATAATTTATTATTAATAATAAATAAAGAAAATAAGAAAAAATATATTTCAGTGTAAATTAAAGCAATTATTAAGAAAAAAATATTATTTTATAATTAATATAATTATTAATTTCTTAATTTTCAAACTTTATTTTGGCAGAAAAACACAAGGAACCATTAAAGCTCCTTTTTTGCAGACAACAGCTAGTTTATAAGTGCTTCTCTTAAATTCTCTTTTCCTGACATATATTTAATTAAATCGCACTAAGCAATATCACGATTTCAGCTAATCAAGCAACCTTAGTCAAATGAGTTTGGAACATGAGGGTGAGTAAACCATGAACTCTGCCATTAAATGTGACCTTTGACCTGTGATTTACATGTAAACGTGGTGTCTCATGTCCAGCGGCAGCGTTTCCTCTGGTACGTCTCGAGCTCTGAAGAGAAGTCATCTGAGTCACTCTCAGAGGCGGAGTCAGGCCATGAGGAGGCGTGGCCTGGTGGAGTGTAGGAGGAGCATAGAATGCAAGAACCGGTGTGTTCCGGTTTACACACAGAACTGGCATCATTTCCCTTACAGCCGTCACTGGAAACAGATACCGGCGAGTCGCAACAAGGACAGGAAGCGGATACCTGCTGGAATTTAGGGTCAGGGAGGGAATTGTGGTCAGGGCTGGAGGCAGAGCCACAGAAGAGGTCAGAAGGTGAGGGGGAATCAAGGTAACAGGTAACATCCATTATGGAGACGGTTTCTTGATATTGTGCATCATCTGGACAGGAAGTAGGATATATGGAGGCAGAATCAAGAGGCTCATCTTTACCGCGGTAAGAGCCAGGGTTATCAGAGAAGGAACTAGAAATAAAGACGCGTTCGGTGTCAGAGGGATTGTGGGAAGGAAAGGGGCTCATGTATTCATCATAGTCGCCGTCTTCTGTTTGTGTGGCCTTGTCTTCCCTGTTGTGTGCGCAGGCGTCTGCGCAGCCGAGGGTCAGCACCCATCCCAGCTGCTTAGACAGCAGCAGACGCAGACCCGGCGGCAGCAGCAGCACGTGCAGAGCGTCTGCGCAGTTGGGCAGCATTTTGCGCAGCTGCATGCAGCACAGGTACTGTAATGTTGTGGGCGCAGAATGTGAACGGATCAGTTTCATGCTGCTCTTGGCCGCAGTCGAACACACCATCGGATACAGACGCTTATTCTGCAAGTGAGTAGCTGCTATGCCTGACAGAACCGAAGATAGATAGATAGATAGATAGATAGATAGATAGATAGATAGAGATGAAAAAGGAAGAATAAGAAAGATTGTATTGTATACATTCATGCAGGACAGGAAAGCGTGCATGCATGTCTTACCGATGCAGCGGCGGTTCTTATAGAAGCTCAGGGTGCCGTGCCAGCTGTCCAGATGAACCCCGATTATGGACCCTTGACCGAACCGTGATGAAAAGTTCACCTTTGACCCCTTATGGTGCAAGCGACCTGACCCATGATAAATGTAGATGAAGACAGAGAGTTAAAAACACATACATACAACCACAAAATAGTTTGGTAATTTTTTTTATGTTTTTGAAGGAAGTCTCTTATGTTCATTTATTTGATTAAAAATACAGTAATATTGTGAAATATTATTACAATTTCAAATAACCCCTTTCTATTTGAATATATTGTAAAATGTGATTTATTCCGGTCATCAAAGCTGAATTTTCAGCATCATTACTCCAGTCTTCAGTGTCACATGATCTTCAGAAATCATTCTAATATTATTATCAGTATTGAAAACAGTTGTGCTGCTTCATATTTTTGTGGAAGCCATGATACATTTTAGTTTTCAGGATTCTTTGATGAATACAAAGTTAAAAATAACAGCATTTATTTGGAATATAACTCTATTATAACATTATAAAAGTCTTTTACGTCACTTGTGATCAATTTAATGTGTCCTTACTAAATAAAAGTATTAATCTTACTGACCTCAAACTTTTGAATTGTAGCATATATCTAAAATGACATATAATGGATCTTCTTTATACACAGACATGCAGGTTTTTTAATGTATTTAAATGAATAATACTGATTTAACTGAATAGAATGCAGGGGTCACATGACCTCTGACCTCACCTGTGTAGGACAGACCCCAGCTGTCCTCATCTGTGCCCAACAGACTGCAGAAACTATGTTTGAACTGATCCAGGTTCACTTCTGATGTCCCGACACCAACCATCTGTACTCATAAACACACAAAATACATCCACTCTTACCAAGACTTCATAAAACATACTTATTAACATTGTTAATCTTATCTTGATATATGGTCAGTATTGTAGTTTAGTGTCTTTGTACATCCAGTCACCGTATCCAAAGCTTGTATAGTTTTGAATGGGGAAAAATGCAACGCTCAATATGGCCGCTCAATCGCAGGAAGCCCCGCCTTCTGAATGAAAGAGCCAATCGCTAACCGGTAAAGTCAGAGCATCACTGCAGCTGCCGTTAGAAGCGTCCCGGTTGCTATAGAAACAGTCAGCGCTCAGGACTGCGCATGCGCACTGGCTGATCTAGCCTGAAAAATAAGCTTTTTATAACGCTATTTCAGCAAAAGTAACAACATTTATGACACAGTTGTTGTCAGATTGCTTTGGTGATTTCAAATATGAAATTTAATCGTAAGCTTAGTGCACAGTGTTGGAGAAGTTGATGTTTCCCCATGCAAAGAGATAGGAGCTGCACTTGCATGCCCGAGAGGCGTTTCAAAGATGGCCGCCGAGTGACATGTCTTAAAAGGACTTTGCCGTATCTCACCATATCTGTGCCGTAGACGGGAGATGTCATCTTGATTTCCCAGAAGTGCTGTCCGTCGCTGAGAGGCTTGGCTCCCCTGATGGCGGCGGTTCCACAGCTGTACTCCGAGTGGAAGCTCACCTTCCGGTCAGAGCAGTTCAGAGACACCGAGGATGATTTGCTCTCCTCGTCCCAAACCCAATCACACCCTTAACACAGTGACAAACACAAAGAGCCATGATTTCAAATCTTCATTGTGGAAAAACACAGCATTATTCAATTATTTATTTATTTATTTATTTTACTGTACTGTAGCTGACTGTTTATAAGTAGGTTGATTTTTTCACATAGCAGGTGCATTTTTTGTGAGTTAATGCTTTTCTAATCAAATAAAATCAGCAGTGTGTTGTCTCTTATGTCAAAAATGTATACTTAATTATTTAATTGAAATAAATTCTTATTCTGAACATTTTTTGACTTAATAAAAAAATATTTTTGGTTAATTTCTGACCCCGTTTATAATGTTTTAAACCAATATTCTTAGATGTTTGTATTTCTAATGTCTACTTTTAGTTATTTGGATATAAACCAAATGGATTATTCTATACTTAAGACTGCATGTCATAGTTAAAGATCATAAGTGCTTTGTGATATAAATGGATGGATATTTTTTTGCTATTTATTTTATTTACACTACCGTCCAACAGTTTGTGGGGTCAGTAAATATTAATTAATTTAAATATTTTTGAAAGCAGTCTCTGATGCTCATCAAGGCTGCATTTATTTTATCAAAAATACAGTAAAAACAGTAATATTGTAAAATATTTTTACAATTTAAAATAGCCATTTCGCATTATATTTTAATATATAATTTATTTCTGTGATCAAAGCTGTATTTTCAGCATCATTACTCCAGGCTTCAGTGTCACATGATCTTCAGAAATCATTCTAATATTATTATTTGCTGCTCAAGAAACATTTCTTCCAGGATTCTTTGAAGAATAGAAACTTCAAAAGAACAGCCTTTGTTTTGAAATAGAAATCTTTTTTAACATTGTAAATGATCATTTTTTATCAATTTAATGTGTCCTTGCTGAATAAAAATCTCACTGACCCCAAACTTTTGAAAGGTCATGTACGACAAAGTGCAAACCACATTTCTCAAGTCAGCTCCGTATGCTGTTTTCTGTTTTCTGTAGTGTCCAACTAAAGTGTTTAGTGAATCTGACCCTGCTCTTCCTCTCCGCAGGTGCAGCTGAGGGTGTAGGGGCTGATCTGGGCGTCTGAGCTGAGCTCTGTTTGAGCTGGACACTGGCAGAACGACTCGCCCGTCACGGGCACCACCGGCGGCAGCTCCGCTGGCACACACACCGTCACCGGCTCGTACTCCGACTGACCACACAAACAAAACCAGACAATGATGACAGAAATGTCCAGGCTATATTTTAAAATCAAAAGAAATGACTAATAAGTTATATTTTTCATTAAGAAAAAGAACAAAGTCTGTTTTATACCCATCAAGATGTGTGATTATCTTCATGTGTGAGAAGCTGATTTAAAGCAGCCGCAGCACATGCTGTGTCACTGTAAACCGTTCATTTGAGACTCTGATTGGCCGGTTGCCCAGGTAATGTAAAATTAGTGCTAGTTAGCTCAAAATAACACGACAGAAATAAGCAGAGCTTGTGAGGACAGAAGTCATGCTCACCTGTGATCCCACAGCCTGCTTCTCTTCTGGGCCGAGGGTCGTCGTGAGGGGCGTGGCTTCAGTCTCCGGGACATTCTCACTAACAACATTATTCCCAGACATTCCTGGAACACAAGAACAGAATGAGGCAGTTATTTTTTACATCCATCCTATCTATCTATCTATCCATCCATTCGTCCGTCTGTCTGTCTATCTTTCTATATATTTACCTAGCTGTCTGTCTATACATCTGACTGTCTATCTGTCTGTCTGTCTGTCTATTTATCTATCTATCTATCTGTCTGTCTGTCTGTCTGTCTGTCTATCCATCCATCCGTCTGTCTATCTTTCTATATATTTACCTAGCTGTCTGTTTGTCTATACATCTATCTATCTGTCCGTCCGTCTATCTATCTATCTATCTATCTATCTATCGATCTATCTATCCGTTTTTCTATCTATCTATCCATCCATCCATCCATCCATCCATCCATCCATCTATCTATCTATCTATCTATCTATCTTTGAAAAGGGTTTGTCAGTAGCACTGCAGCTGATCTGTAATTTTCTCAGCATCACTTCCTGTAGCTGCTGACTCACAGATGTCAGGCTTTGCCATGAACTTGTTTTTCACTGACAGACTGCCTCGGCTGACACTGTACCTACTTCTGATTGCTCCATATGCCACGGCTGGCAATCCGAGACTCTAGTCTTACATGCTTCATGTGACCTGCTCAGATCGCTCTGATGTTTACACTGTAGGAGTTTTCAAAACAGCCCACGAGGGTGAAGAAACTTTAAAAAGCATCAGCAGAACAGAATGGCAAAGCAGAAAACGCTCTTTATAAATACTGAGCTCACTGCACATGCATAAACACAGAAAATGGCATTTCCATATAAATCTGATTTCTTAACGGTTATAGGTTATGATTGCATTTCAGATGTTTCTATACCTCAGCGTAAGTGTATAATTGGTTCAAAAGACTTTGATTGATTCTGTCCTAATGTGTACGTGACATGGCCAGGTGTTCGCTAATTGATGGATAATGTGTATCCAAAATGAGAATCCTGCCCTGGATCCCTGCACCGCCCCGGAGCTGACCAACTGGCCCATCTTTACTTGTGTGCTTCTGGGAAATGCTATGGTGCAATAAGTTTGCATTACGCTGGCATGAGCACATTTCTCATGCAAACAGCGTATTCATAACAAACAAGATTGCGTAAAAGCAATGTGATAGGAGATCATGTACGTAACGTAACACGTACGGTTGAAATTTAGGACTTTAGGTTGAAATTTATATTTTATATTATTTACACTTACATAGTCCTGCATTGTGATTTTTTTTCAGTACTAATAATTCACATAATCAATTAATATGAGCTCATAAAACAAAATTAATAATTACATTAATACAATAATTAGTGAAAAGCATAACATAGTTCAAATACACCATGCTTGAAAATTCATGTTGACTATGCCGACTTGTTGCTGCTATTATTCACATCAACAATTACATGGTGAATATCAGTTAGTAAAGCAGCACCATCATTTAAATATGAATCCTATTTTTTTTTTAAAACACTGAAAACAAATTCCCTAAACCTCCAACATGAATAAAATAATAGCAATACTAATTGTACTAATTATAACAATTCTTAATATATTATATACTAATAGACCCTTATTCTGAATATCATCATAATACTTTAATACTCCAAACCAATAATAATCAAATATGATTATAACATATCAACTGTTATAACAATGATTGTATGTTGAATAGTTATTGTTATGATTATTATTATTAATAATACATTACATTAATGTAGAGCTTTTCTTGTCACTCAAAGCACTTTACACATTTGGGGGGGGTTAAAATCTCTTCAACCAACACCATTAAGTTAAGAGTTATTATAATAAATCACTATTATTATTATTATAGGCCCTATTGATATAATTATTATATTAATATATCAACAGGAAAACGTGTTTACATACTTGACAACATTTTTAGACTGCTATCCACTGTAAACACCTGACTGCACCAAGAGTCATTTCACAAAATGGACTTTCAGAAATCACTACTTTTACAACTTTGTGATAACATAATTAACATAAACTCACATACCTCGTTACGTTTTCGTAGAGTGTATTCCCTCTGCTCTAAACACGCGTTTCCATCAGGAACTGCTGTAAGTGATATAGCAGGTGTGTTAGTTTGGTGACCTACATCTTCACACACCACACACACAACACAACACACCACCGGCCACTCATCAGTCATACTACGGAGAAGTTCTAGCTCATGAATATTAATTAGGTCAAGCGGTCGACGCCCTGGAGCGTTTAGTCACTGAGCCTAATTAATATCCATGAGCTGTAATTTCATTGGCTGGCTGAGTAGCGCCTACTTACCTCGTCTCATTTTCAGCCAATCGGATAGCCAGACTGCGCAAACGTCTTGTTATGTAGTTAATATTCATTATGTAAAGCCTTCGCCATAGTAGGACTCCTAGCAGACGGAACAGGTCGGTCTGTCTATCATCCTCATTAAAGGCCGCTTTAAGGATCAGTCCGCGCTGGCTTTCCGTCAATTTTACCTTAAACGACAAATTATCTGACCTACAAACCAACATGCAAGCATCAGTGACGTGGTAAAACATAAACTAATAAATTATTCTTCACTAATGCTCAAACTGTGCCTGACATTATTTAATCAGGAAACTATAAGTATATGGAGCGATTAATATAAAACAATAATAATTAATAATTATGTGTGAATATTTCAAACCCGACAGGAAACTTTAAATACTACTTTTGAAGAATTATAACAGGGGCGTGACTAAGTCGGCTAAATGACCAATAGTAACGGCAGATGCGTCGCACTCTTGTGTCTGATTGGACGAGCTTGCTCTTAGGCGGGATCAAAAACGCAGAACGTCATTTGACGTATTGCGGATAAACAGGCTCTGAAACATACACAAATTGACATTAAAGTGTCAATGTTACTCAAATGTTACGCAGAAGTAAAAGGGTTAATTGCAAATGAAATAAGAAAGAAATGGCAGAAGGATTGCGGAAGTGAAATAAACCAACATGGACAGCAGCGGTGAGTGTGATCGCAGCGATCAGCAAGACTTTTTCATTAACAGATGTTTATCGAATACAACTGAATTACTTCACAACTGTTCATTTACGTTGTCATAAAATGCAACAGAATAAACGAAAGATAAATGCAATAATACGGGCATTTTGAAATAAAAATAATAAACAGTAACAGGATAATACCATGTTTGGACATGTAACGTTAGCATGGTAAAACTGTTTTGTATACAGGGTGTCCGGCGGGTCCTTAAAATGTCTTAAATAACGTTTTCTTACTATAAGGCCTTAAAATGTCTTAACGTTTTCTTAATATAAGGCCTTAAAATGTCTTAAATAACGTTTTCTTAATATAAGGCCTTAAAATGTCTTAAATTCGGATTCGATGGGTCTTAATTATTTCTGGTCTCATTACCCCTAAAATATCTTAAGTCTGACGGACCTAACGACTTTACAATCATTGGACGGACCCGCGGTAAGTTACTGCGTCATCAGAGAGAATCGCAGTAAGTTAGCAGAATACAGAATACAAGCTCGCGCTGAGGCTCACTCTGTTTGTCTCGAGACTTCAGAACAAAGGAGCGTGACCGCACACATAAACTCAGAGGTAAAAATTCACAATGTTTAGTTTATTCATAACATTATATAGTTAGATAACACCATGACAAGTGAGCTATTTTGCTCAATATTCTCACGACGCAAAAAAAATAAACATTCAAAACACCTACAGAGTGCACGCATTACGTGAAG